ACTGTTCTGATAGAACGCTACTTCTACTAATCGGTCCCAGAGGAACGGCCGTAAAGTACCCCAGACTTCTTGTCTCCTATACTGGCTGACACATGCCATGCGGACTAAAGTTAGAAATTCGCTTGCTATAAATATATAATTGCTCTCGGAATTGAAACAAACTCCCACTTATCTGATCCTTTCTAAATTCGTTAGAGTTTCATGGCTGGGGAAAAATAATCGGGTTTCAGTCTCCCTGCTTGTGTAACTAGCAATGAAAACAACCCCAAAATTATCAAATATGAAATATAATTTTGAAAAGCAAAAACTTTCAAAACCGTTTTTTAAACCCCCCATTTGTTAAAGGAACCAATATCACTTTTTTAAAATCAAAGTGAGCACTGTACATCCAATCAGCTATTCCTTTATTTTGGAGATAGCCAAAATTTAAAATGATTTTGGGGGAAACTGGAAATAGTCTAATTCAAAATTTAGTGATTTTAAGGGTTTTTTTTGGAAAACGATAAACATTTGCAAGTTTTACGCTACCCCCAAAGCGCGCACTGGGGGACTTTATGAGGGCCACAAAGGCCACACTTATTATTGCAAAAAACACGCGTTACAGGACGTTTGGATTTGGGGGTTCTTTCGGCGTTTCGTTTCCCTTTCCCGGGTTTTTTTCACAGTGATCTAAATCTTACCCAAAATTGGAGACTAAAAATTTTTCAGTTAACTGGCCCTTTTAAAACCACACAATATTAGGGTTTCAAAACAAATTTTACAATACAGTTTTAAATCAAATTCCACATAAAGAAACCAGCAAAAAAGGGACCATTTAAAAATCGAACCGTTTTTAAACCCTGCTGTACTTTCTTTTTTTTGATTTCAATGATCAAAACCTCTTTTAACCGTCAATCTTCCCAAAACTAAAAACCGGGTTCTAAATTGTACCGGACCTCTTTTTCCCTCAAAAATTAGCCCCAGTTGGAAAGAAAGCGTTTTTTCTCACAGGGGTTTTTTTTTAACTGTGCACTTTTTGTCACCCCTCGCAACTCGAAAAGGGGCCCCCGGTATTATAGGGGGGTTTTGGAAGGAGTGTAAATATACCTTCCACATCCACGGGGGTTTTTGTATTTTTAATGCGAAATCCCGGGTTTTCGTTTGCTATGCCAGATACCTCGAAAAACCCCCATGGGTCTTTGCCAGGGTGGGGGTTAGAGCGGGAGATAGCATTAAATTTGGCTAGAAATAGCTAGTTTTAGAGAAAAACTGGGGGAGGCGGGGTGGTGCTAGAGGTTGTAGCAAAACGTAGCTACACGGGGTTTCTTTGGGATTTGGGGTTTTTTTAAATGGAAAAGTGCCGGAACAAAGTTACTTAAGATTGCAGTTGGGGGCAGTGAAAACCCAGGGTTTGTGGGAGGGGACCCAGAGCTACAGTGCAGGATTTACTGCAAGTGAAAAAGGAACAGTGCAAGTGTTAAAGTATGCAACATTAAAAAAACGCCGACGAAGTTTAGACTTAGATTTAAAAACTGATGGAACTGGGGGGTTTGCTAAAATGGAGGTAGCAGAACGTACTACATGATGAAAACCGGAAAACTAAGGCTGGTTTTTGGGGACCTAAAAAGATGTGAACCCTGTCCTGATAGTTTCCAGTGAAGAGGGGAGTGGGGAAAGTGTGAAACAAACCCTAAAGCTCTAAAAAAGAAGAGGGCTAAAGAACTACTTTGTTTAAATCAACCCGGTTCGGCAAGGTCTGTAGCCTTGATAAAAAGATACCATAAAAGTTTTTCATGGGGGAAAAAGTCGTTTTAAATATAAAGGGTTCGGGGGATCAAAAAAAGGGTGGGTCAGTCTCTCTGTTTTCTTTCAGATTTGATGAAAGGCTGTTAAGTTTCAGGCGGGGGAATCTTAATGGGTTTCGGAAAACTGTACCTGGTTGTTTCCCCCCACCCTTGTCGCTTGAAAATGGGTTCCACCCCCCCTTTTTTCCCAAAATGCAGTTACCAGAGCGGGAAACTTTTCTTCCTACTTTTCTTTAAACCCAAAAACAAAATCAGGTTCCAGTCCTCCCCTTTTCCCCTCCCCCAAAACAACCCCTTATCCCTTTTTGGCTTTTTAAAACTGTTGATACTGTATCCTTGAAACTGTTCTTTTCCATTTGCCAGAAACTCCTGAAAAGGTGCTCTGGGGCCCTGATTTAAAATTTGGTTTACATTTCCCCCAATTTGCAATCTTAAGTAATTTTATTTGGGCACTCTTTGGCCTTTAAAATAACCAATTTCCAATAAAAACCCTGTAGCTACGTTCTTTTAAAACCAGCTAGCACCACCCAGCTACCACCATTTTAAACTTTTAAATCTAGCTATTTCTAGAACTTTCAATGCTATCTCCAGCTCTATCCCGACCCCGGCAATGACATGGGGGGGTTTTCGGGGTATTGGAAATAGCAAAAACAAAGCGCCAAGCGCTTTCCCCCAAATACAAAAAAGCCACAGGGAAAGGGGGGAAAGGGGTATATTTACACTCGCTTCCTAAAACCCCCCCCAAATTTTACCGGGCCTCTTGGGGGTTTTGGGCGGGAGTGCAAAAAGTGCACAGTTAAAAGAAACCCCTGTGAAAAAATCGCATTTCTTGCACAACGGGGTCAATTATAGAGGTAAATAAGAGGTCCGGTACATTCAGATAACCCGGTATAGTTTGGGAAAGATTGACGGTACAGGGGTTTTTTGTTTCTTTGAAATCAAAAAAAAAAAATGATAGTAAGCGGGAAAAACGGTTCGTCTTAAATGGCCCTTTGGGGTTTTTTTTATGGGGAAATTTTGAAAAAAGCTGTTTTAATTATTTATAAAACTCAAATATTTTTGGGGAAAAAACCTTTTTCGGTTCTTCCCCTTTCCCCCAAGAGTTCCAAATTTACTAAAAATAGGCGGATTTACTGAACTCCAACTTAAATATTGATGTTTTTTTAGTTTTCCCCCAAATCAAAAAAACTTCGAATTTTTCTGAAAAAGCATTTTTTTTCCACTTTTTCCTCCCAAATCGATGATTGCCCACTTTTGGGGGAAAAAAAAATTTTTTCTTTTTTAAAAACCCTTTTTTCAGTCTCGAAAAAAATTTTTAAGTAAAAATTTTTTGAAGTTTTTAAAAAATACAATTTTTTTTCCCCTGTTTCCCAAAAGATTTTAAAAATTTTGAAAGGGGCCCAAAAAAAAAAATTTTTTACTTTTTTTTGGGGATTAAATATTTGGTAATTTTTCCCCTTAGCTGATTGTTTCCCAAAGTAAAAATTTTTTTACACAAAAATTTTTTCCTTGGGTAAGGGTAAACATTCAGGGGGTTTTCCCGCCCTTTTAAAAGCGTTCACAACAAAGGGTATTTGGAAAACCGACAGGTGGTACAAAAGGGGGTAAAAAGGGTAAAAAAGGTGGGTTTTGTTGAGACACAAAATTGGGAACAAGTCTAATTTTGTTCTAGGGGTCTTAAAATCCATATTCCGGGGGGGGGGGGGGGGGGGGGTTGGGGGAATTTGGGGGGGGGAAATTCAAATCCCAACGGAAAGCCCCTTTTCCCTTTCTAATTTTAAAATGGCGAGATTTTGTTTTTGGGTATGAAAAAATTTAATTTTTCCCTATTAATCTCTTATTTTTAATTACCTTTTTTTTAAGCACTCCATGTAAAGATCAAAAAGATTTTTTATTTTTGTGGAATGCAAATGCCCAAAAAAAAGTGTGGAGGGGGGGAAAGGGGGGGGAGGGGGAGGAGGGGGGAGGGAGGGAGGGAGGGGGGGGGAGGGAGGGGGGGAGGGGGGAGGGAGGGGAGGGGGGGGAGGGAGGGAGGGGGAAAAGGGGGGGAAGGGGGGGGGGAGGGGGGAGGGGGGGGAGGGAGGGGGGGAGGGAGGGAGGGGGGGGGGGGGGGGAAAGGGGGGGGGAAAAGGGGAAAAAAAAACAAAAGGCTAGCCATTAACTAAAAATGCCTAACACTTTGGGAGTTTGTTTAAAGGCAGAAGATGGGTTTAAAATGGGGGACCATTTTGTCACGTATAGGTTGTACTGTTCAAGTTTTTTTTCATCGGTGCGGAGTTGGTATTGGACAAACTTCAAAAATGAACCAAGATACTGGCCCGGGTTTCTAGATAAAAAGGTCATAAACCAAAAATTTTTAAATAGAATTGGGTAGGGAAAAATAAAAAGTCGAAATTTTCATAAACCCGAACCTTTTAGCGGCGGCTGGTTAAACCCTTGTTATGGGCCTAATTTATTCACTGAACCCGTGTCGGTAATCACTAATTAAGGGCCCCTCATTGAAAATTAAGCATTTTTGGTCATATTTTTCGGAGCCTACACAAACCTTTTCCTCTGGACCTTCCAACCTCCTAGTACACATTTACAAATTTGGGACATTATTCTGTTTTTCCCGTTTGATTTTTTAACTTTAGAATTCGCTGCTAGAGCGTTTTGGGCTCGCGATAGATAAAATTAGAAAAGAGTTTTCCGGGTTTGGTAAGATACGAAAGGGGAAAATGTTGGTAAAAAATTTCTGGCTGTTTTTGGCTCGTTGAACACCCGAACCCCCAAAAAATGGATGCAAAAATATTTTAAGGGGAAAATTAAACCCCCTTTAGGTAGCGTGCAATAATTTTAAACCCCAAAGGGCCCAAAATGGGCCCATGTTTTTCATGGGGCTCCAAAACTACAAACAAAAAACATAAATTTTGTAAAATGTCCTGGCATAAACCCCCAGAACAGAATTTTTTTCGGCACCCGTTAGCTGAAAATTTTTAAAATGCGTTTAAATCTGCTTTGGAAAGTCGTATACGGTCGTGAATAGGCGATCAAAATGACCGAAAATTTTACTTTTTTTTGGAGTTTAAAAAGGGTTTTAGAAGCCTGCCCTTTAAAAAATTTTGAAAAATAATTTTATTTTGTCTGAATTTAAAATTGCTGCTTTAGCATCCAGGGGTGAGAAAAAATTCAGGGGGGGGGGGGTTAGGGGTTGGGGGGGGGGGGGCCCAACGGGTGCAAATTATTTTTTTTCCCCAAATTAGGGGGGGGTGGGGGGGGGGGTTTGGGGTTTTTTTTAGGGACGAATGGAGTTGGGAAAAAAAGGAAGGGTTTTGTAACATTTATCCTTTAGAAACCCAGCCCTTCCCCTTAAAAAAAACCCTTTTTGGGGGCAACGGCTGGGTTTTGAACCTTAAAACCCCTCGGTTTCCCAAAACCCTAAATTTGGAGGATTTTTCACATTGGGGCTTTTGGGGTCCGGGGGCTAAAAGGTCGTTTTTTCTATTTTTAAGAGTATCGTGTCAGTTTTTACGAAACACGTGTTTACATAAATTTGAATACTAGATTCCCAACATTAAGATGGGGATTCTTTGGGAAAATTTTGGGCATATTTTTAGATTTTTTTTCCTACACAGGGGGGATTATCGCCCCTCCCGATAATCCCGCGGTGCGGGCACCTGGCCTAAAATTTAGCATAATAATCTTCGTCGGGAAAAATCCACGTTTGCAGTTGAAAAAATTGGCGGGGAAAATTTACCATAACAAAAGTGTATGCTCCCCAGTCGAACGACTTTTTTTTAGATTTTTTGGGGGGGGGGATTAATCTATACTGGGCCAAAAAAAGAGATCATTTGGGTTTTTATTTCTAGAAAAACCGGAAACTGGCACGGGACAAAATTTTTGGGGTGGGGAGGGTATTTTGGCAAAGGGGTTTTTTAAATCAAAATTTTTTGTACGGTTTGGGGTGTTGGGGGGGGGGGGGGGGGCTTGGGGGGGGAAAAATTGGGGGGGGGGGGGGGATGGGGGGGGGGGAATTTTTGGGGGGGGGGGGGGGGGGGTTTTATTTGGGGGGGTGGGGGGTTTATGGGGGGTTTAAATGACTTTGGGCCCAAAATGGGGGGGAAACTTTTTAAGAAGGGGTCGGGAAAGTAGGGGGGGTTTTAATTTTAGGGGTTTTTTTAGTTTTGGGGTGGTTATACCTTGTTTTTCTTTTTAAAGGGGGGGTTTTTAATTGAAAATTTTTTTTTTATGGGTTCTTTTGTCTTGGGTTCTTAAAAGGAACGGAGGTTTTTAAAAAAAGGGGATTTCATATTTTGCTCTTCACAAGGCGCTAGGGATCGAAAGAAATGTGATTGGAAAAAAAGACGAAGAATTTTTTTTTGGTTTTTAGGGTTAAAGGGGGTTTAAAACTTGTTGGGGGTTTTTGCCGTTCAATGGGGGGAACCCCCGGAAAAATTTTTGATGTTTTTAAAAAAAAAAATTTTTTGCCGTTGGGGTAAAAAATGCCTTTTTTAACTTTTTCTTTCCTTGAAATGTATAATATTTATTCAGGAAGCAAAGAAGCGGATGGTTTGAGAAACAAAGCGCGTGAAGGTACTGCCACACAGATTGATTCCATTACATTTGAAGGTGTAGAATTAGTTGCTTCCAAGGCAATTGATGGATCTCTCATGGACGGTCAGTACTTACTAAGATATGATAACAATAGTACAAAGAATCTTAATAATCTGCATAATCTTTAAAAATTTAAAATGTATCTTATTATTGTAAATTTAAGTTACGTTCACATCTATAGAGTTACAAGGTGTCCCATGTCAATTGTATAGCTATAGCCGTAAATAAATGTATCCAGTTTAACCATTATTTTTAAATAGTACTGGCGAATATGACTTCACCCGTACAAACACGAAAGGAAAAGATGCATGGTGGTTGCTGACCCTACCAAGAGAAATCACAATTCTTGAAATAAGGGTACAACATTGAACTAGATAATTCTTTTACATTAGGTTATAATTTGTTAGTTTGAGGTTATGGTCAGAGTTGTTGTAGCCAGACAGCTCACACATCTGCTAACAGTTTCACATTTCCTCTGTATTGAAAAATAAAAATTCGGTCCAGTAGATAGATTATTTGGTTAATATAATGATCAATCAAATACTTTTAAATCGAGCTGGCAAGAACAAGAGACTCCTTTAAACTGATCCTATATCATAGCAGAATAATATCAAATAAATTGTAACTAATGCAAATAACCAAACACAGGTATACAACAGGAAAAATCTTCCCGAAAGAATAGACGGAGCGACAGTTTGGGTTGGTTTCGGTTTGATTGGAGGAAACTATGAGGGAGCAGTCAAAGTCGGGACAATTGAGTACGTGATGGGACAACATCTATATATCTTTTCAAGCCTACATTTAAAAGGATCAAGTGTACAGATACAGGGTGGCAGTCATGCTTTACAAATGGCAGAGGTAGAAGTTTATCAAGACTTAGGTAAGTTGAATTCGCGTGTTTCTTTAACTTTACACAATAAAGTTTAAATCTCAAACTCCCCAACTCCCTCACTCTCCTTCTACCCAAACTAGCCTTAAACCTTGAACTATTTTCCCAGTTCCCCAAAAACTCAAACAGTTGGCAAAACCTTATCATAGATATCGGACAAGTGAATACTTGTAAATCTTTATAAAATGTACATATATATTCCTATTGAGTATTGAGTATTGAGTGTTGGTACATCTTAACATCTTAAGACCTGATCCTTCATGTCTGAGCAACATGTGTAGGGATAACTTGATAATGATAAGCAGATTATAAGGTTAAAGGTATATATTATTCTCATAATATGATCATGGTATAAATGTCCGTCATGTAAAAGTTGTGCTCTCACTCTTGTTTACGCTAATACAATGTAATATAATGTAACTTACCCATGAGATAACTATGTTCTCTCATGGGTCCTACATTTAGGCTGTGATAAACAGGTAGTGTGATAACTCCTAATCTCCCACTGGTGTTAACAAATGTTTAATGCCGAATGAATGTTGTTAATAGGACTAACCTAGGTATGATATCTAACGAAGCAATGAACTATACAGAAAAGCAGATTAATTTCATTCATGGTTACTAAATGAACTAAATAATTAATAAACTGCAAGCTTTAGGATGTCACATCAGCATTTATCGCGAAAAAACAGTTATCGATGCAAGCGCAGTAAAACCACAGCTAAATGATTATAACCAAAGCACATTTGATTAAACGAAGTTCTCACTGCAGTAATATAGTTCCTTATCGAAACAAGATAAGGATGCGTCCTCTAGAAAGTTTGACTCTGGAATATTATATGTAGCAATATTATCGGTCATAATTTTCCGATGTAAATGCTGCGTTTGCTAGCATCATTTCGTAGATCATCGGAGAATGCATTTACATCACTGCTTGTCGTATGATAACATGAGTTACATAACTCGTCAAACTCGTTATGTACCTCGTTTGATCCAGCTCGTCAAACTCGTTGGATAAAACTGTTTTCACAACTCAAAGTTGTGAAAATAATGTTATTACACTCCAAGCAGTGATGTATCGGCTTATTATACTAGGACTATGGAAGTGCATGAATTTCTTATCAGTTATTTGACCAAAACCCATAATCATGGGTAGAGTGGACCGCTGCCAGTGTCTCTCTTTCCCCAACAAAAGGAAATGATATTAATTTGATTGACCGTTCTCAAATGCAAAATGATACCGGGAATGAAATCGGTCGCTCGCTTTTCCCATTCATTCACGGCTTACGAATTGTAATAAGTTACGATTGATTACATCAATCCGATGCTGTAAAAATCTCTTTGGGTTGCGTTCGGGTCGATACCTAGTATTTCGGGGTAAGGGTGGTAGTTATTACTTATTGAATTAGCTGAAGTTTATTGAATCTTTATTGCCGAGTACAGCTGCCTTTGGGTAGTTCTTCTTAATCTATTACAATTGTAAAATGTAAATGAATGGAAAAAGCGAGCGACCGATTTCATTCTCGGTATCATTTTGCATTTGAGAACGGTCAATCAAATTAATATCATTTCCTTTTGTTGGGGAAAGAGAGACACTGGCAGCGGTCCACTCTACCCATGATTATGGGTTTTGGTCAAATATCATCTCTTTTTGATTATAATGTCAGGGTACCTTATAAAGTCGAAATATAAACTGATATCATCATTAATAAGGAGGAAGTTTCAACAATTTCGAAATTTTTCCTTTAAAAACATTTCCTTGTGTTTAGGTAAGCATATCGGTCGATCACTGACTGAATATGCCACTTAATACTCATTCAAGTTGGCATTAAATTCATATATAATGACATTAAACTGTCGTGGCAAAGCAGAATTTGTTGGAAATCACGAATGAGCAAAATTCTCACCTTTCGCACGTGCAAACTTTGAGCGGACGTTGCGTGCGCATCCAATATTGAATCGCCCTAAATTTTTGCATGTAATTGTTTTATATATAGCTTGATAAGCATGCAAAGTTTCAAAGTATTTCAAGAAGAACTGTAATCACAACGGCACTCTAAAGTTGACAGAAAATGACGAAAACAGCAATTTTCAGTGATTTTAGCAATTTTCTATCAATTTGGGCGTGTCCCCACGTGTGCAACTTTTCGATTTTCTACTTTAAAACTAGCCTAATGCACAATTTATACCTATAGGAAGCAGAACTGAGCTCCACAACCCAAGGCATGGCCCAACACCAAAGAATACTAAATCGCAAAATTGACGTTTTTATAAAATAATTCTTCAAAAAAGCACAAACTTCAATGATGAATATCTTTATGAAGGAGCAAGCTAGAAAAACTTTCCGGTAGATTTTCAGAATGCTTGAACAATTATCTAAGGTGAAAATTTCCTCAGATTTTGAATACAATTACTTTTTAATGGTGTAAAATCATTTTTAAAAGTTATTACTTTGTCAAAAATCAAGTTTTAAAAACGGTTAACTTGATGACGTCATCAAGGGGTGTTCATGACGTCAAATAATTTGTTTATACAATGTAAACTAAAGTGTAAACAATTATTTTCAAGACCTGTGGTCGGAAATGGCTGTATCTTTTATACTTTTGAATCTATGGACAATTAAATACAGGCTACAATTGACTGGCAAAGCGTCTATCCCTGAATATATATAATATGTATGTATATCACAGTGCTGGCAAGCACGACCGTTGCATTTATTGTGGGTATACTATGTTCCCCATTTA